AGGTGAAGGCTATGCAATTGGAAGTTTCTATTTTATAAAAAGTAAAAAATTACAAATAGAAAATTAGAACAAGGGTGGTGACATGAGCTCTTGGATGTGGGCACTGTTAGCTTTCTTAGCTTCAGGTGCAGTGTCCTATTGCCACGAGGAACCATCCTTGTGCTCTGAAGTTGGAGGTACCAGTGGGTTCAGTGGGAATATTAACTGAGTGTATCTCATGGGCTGGGCATTGTCCCATTTGTACTGTGTGTCCCTTATTTGAGACAGTGTGCTCACTTAACCTCAATAACCTCTTTAAAAAATTAAACATTTTATTTTGAGATGTAATGTAGATTCCCATGTGGTTGTAAGAGATTATATGGAGAGGGCCTATGGACACTTTGCCCAGTTTTCCTGAATGGTTCCATCGTGCAAAGTTGGGGTACAATTCATTACTGACTCACTAACAATTTGAGGTTTGTGTTATTGCCCTAATTTCTATTCATGATTAAACTGGTGCTTAGAGAATCACTCAGGACTGCCCTGGTCACCCACATGGTTAATGTAGAGACGGATGGAACGTGAGCTTGGGATTTGCAGGCAGTACCATTATGATGGTCTGTGGCAGGGAGCAGCATTCACTTTGCTTGTTTATTCATTCATTCAACAAACATTTATTGAGTAACCTCTGTGGGTCAGATGCTTTCATAGGGTTGTCTGATTCTTCAGCAGTACTGAGAATCAGATAATTTTTTTTTTAATCTGAGAAAATTAGCTCTGTGAAGTTATAATCCCCCCAAAGGAAATATAGCTCATAACGGAGTGATAGTAAATTTACACAGTCACCTCTTTTTATGCAGGTGGTACCCAAGGCATTTTACATTTGCAAACTTCCTTAATCCAGATATATTCTTGTAAGGCAAGGATTTTTTTTAATTGAAGTATAGTCAAGTTTACAATGTTGTGTCAATTGCATTGTGTTTTTTGAATTTTGAATTAAAATATATTTTTTGAGGAGGGTAATTAGGTGTATTTAGTTGTTTCATTTTTTAAAATTAGATAGTGGGGTTTGAACCCAGGACCTCATACATGCTAAGCACGTGCTCTACCACTGAACTGTACCTTCCTCCCCAAGGCAAATTTTCTTATCCATTATTATGAAGCTTAGGGATTCAAATAAATTGGATAGAAATCTAGATCTTTTGATCCTACTCTAGTCCTTTTCTTTATCTTCTGCTGGAGAGGGTTGGGGAAATCACACCCTTTGTTCATTTCTTTATTCAGCATTTTTGAGCAGTGACTTTGCATCAGGGACTTGCTCGGTGCTTGGAAACAGAAAATAAGAAATGACCCTTCTCTGCAGGGGCAGGAAGCCAAGGCCAAATCTGGGTAATGTGATCAGAGCTACGGTAGCCATGTGCAGACTCTGAGGACAAACTCTATCCCCAGATTTGCTTTGGCTTCCCTTGCCTTCTGGCTGGTACACACCAGGTCACTGCAACCCAGTGAGGCCAGCAACCCACAGCACAGTATGTACCTCAATCTCCTCTCCCCTCTCAGCACGGCCTGCAACATGAGCATCCCTGACTACGTGCAGTGTGCTGAGGACCACCAGACTCTTCCCGTTGTTGTCCAACTCATGGGGATGATTTCAGAGGAGAATTTCTTTTGCATCTATAAGCGAATCTCCTTGGTGAGCCGTATCAGCCCGTGCGGCTCCCAGTGGGCAATGTGTATCCACTTCAGGCACCACTATGTGCCCGAAAATTGTTGGAGCGGCTTCCAGACACACCGCAAGGTCGTGGGCCCTGTCACCATTACTGACTGTCTCTCGGCCAAGGCCTTTGAGAAGCTCCACGTGCAGAGGAGCTGTATGGCACCACGCTTAATGACTCTCAGCTTTTTGTCTCTGTGCTGCATGGGGAGGTAACTGAGCAGCCACGCACCGACTTGTCCTTCAAACTAGGAGGACTGCAGGGTGGTGGAGAAGAGGATCGAGGACTTCACTGAGTCACTCTAGATCTTGCCCAAGTCCAAGAGGCTGGATAGGGCCCCTAAGAAGTCTGGGGACTAGATCCCCCTCCTCTGCATCCCGTTTGAGAAGGAGGACTTCATGGGACTGGACACAGACAGCAGGTAAGTTTACCTGGAGGCCAGTCCACCCTGGCTGTGTTCCGGATTGCTTCCCTACATTCAGAAAGGGATCAGCAAGGAAGAGGGCTGTCTTGTAGCCAAGGATGGAGGGAGGTTAAGCCCGCCAGTTTACAGACATTTCAAAGTGAATCCGCCTTTATTTCAGAGAGTTTCTTTTAGGGTTAGTGTGGACACTTAATCCCACTTTTCAGCCAGGACCATGGTGGGACCCCTGGAGTTGCTGTCCAATAGATTAGCCACAGCCACTGATGCTAGGAGCGCTGGGGAGGAGGCTGGTCTGAGCTGAGATGTGCTGTAGGTCAAATGCTCATCAGACGTTGAGGCTTGTTTAGTAAAAGTATATAAACTGTCTCGTCACTTCCTATATTGATTACATGTCAAAATGATACTATTTTACATACAGTAGATTAAGTAAGATCTGTTCTTAAAATCAGTTTCAGGCATTTGTTTTTTGTTTGTTCGTTTGTTTCTTTGTTTACAGTTTTAAATGTGTCAACTGGGAAACTTCATTTACACGGCTCTCATTTCATTTCTGTTGGGCAGCCTGTCCTGAGACAGTCTTATCCCTTTGTTTATAGATGAGATGCTGAATCCCGACAGACAGAACGGGGTGCTGGTTGAGCTGAGGCTGGAGCCGGTGTCTCCTGCCTCCCAGGCCCAGCACCTGTTCAGCTCAGGCCCTCTCTTCCTGCCCGACAGCCAGCATGCAATCTTAGGACATCAGAAACACCGCCAGGAACTTCCAAATGAACTCCTTACGAAGGGAAAGGCTTATCATGGTGTATGGGACAGAGCAGGGAAATGTTCATCATCACTTTGTCCCTGTGATTAAGTCAACGGCCCCACTTTGCCTTGGAAGTACAGACGAGCTCTTCTGGGCTGCCTACCCCCCCCAACTTCAGCTCTGATTCCCGTGTATCTATCGTGCTATTCCTCGGGCAGAAGAGGGTGAGATGCCTTTGCTGACAGGTGGTCCCCCTTTGCTGGGGAGAGTGAAGTGAGCTGTGTCCCCCCGGCCTACGGCCTCGGGCCTTGAGTCTGGAGAGCGCTCATGGCGGTCCCACAGGTGACGGTCTGAGGAATTGGCACGTGCTGCCGGGCCCGCTGTGAAAGCAGTGCTCTGTGATTCTTGAACTTACCTAAGATCAGATCCT